TTCTTTACTATAGTTTCAACTAATTTGCCCAGTACTGATGTTAGAATTACCAATCTGTAATTGCCAGGATCACCTCTAGAGCCCTTTTTAAATATTACCCTCTTCCAGTCATTAGGTACAGAAGCTAATTTAAAGCACAGGTTACAAATCACAGTTAATAGTTCCACAATTTCACTTTTGAGTTTTTTCCGAGTTCTTGGGTGAATGCCATCTGGTCCCAGTGACTTGTTACTGTTAAATTTATTAATTTATTCCAAAACCTTCTCTAATGACACCTCAGTCTGGGACAATTCCTCAAATTTGTCACCTAAAAATAATGCCTCTACTTTGGGAATCTCCCTAACATCCTCAACCATGAAGACTGAAGCAAAGAATTCATTTAGTGTCTCTGCAATGACTTTGTATGTCTGATTTCCACTTCAACAGGAAATTGACTTGTATTACCCTGAAATGTATCTTTATAACAAGAGGCAACAGAAAATTGGAAACTGACCAGTTTCCAAAGATGGTTTCTAAAGTTCTCAATTTATGTGCATTGCCTCAAAACATGAAATAACCTATGATATGTGTTTTGAGTGGACAGCCACAGTCCATGTTCATATACATTCATACTACTGATAGAATGTTGGAACAGTAAATCATGTTTAAAGCACTTGTGTTCAAATGGTCAAAATGAGTGGTTTTATTTAAAAGTGTAAGGTTGCAGCAATGTGTATCATTTATAGGTATATTTATGCGGAATACTTGTGTAGCTGTGACACATCATGAATGAAATGTATTTAATGCACTTACTGAACTAATTTGTGCGAAATTACTCTGATGTGTAATCAATAGGGAACTCTTTATCCTCTTGTGTTTTGAGACATTTTTCTTCTAGTTCAGCTCTAAATATGGCAAGATCCAAGACTAGGAAAATCTCATGGATGTGTGCCATTCTACACATATGAGGAATGTAAATGTACCGGCTCATATTATATCAGTCAGTAATAAAGCTGCCCACAAGTCCATTCTCCATTATAAATACAATTTCACCAAATGTTTTCTCTGAACTTCTCATGGATGAAAACCACATGGGTAGAAAATTGAAACTTGGCAGGGAATATAGTCCTTATTGAAAGGAAGTGTCTTTAAGATTTCTGGTAAAACTGGTTTTGATTTGACCAAATTATGACTCATTGAAAAGAGCACTCTGCTTATGTATAGTAGATAATTAAAGAGGTTATTTACTAAAGTAACTAAAAAGTGATGGCTAAAGAAACAATGAAGCATATAAGATAATGGAGTAGTGGAGTGAAAAATTAATAAATGTGTATATTGGAGCTCCCCCAAATTAATTGTGAAGTTTATAAGAGTAAAAGTTTGGGAGGGGGGTTAATCTCATTCATTGAATACCTTGTAATATACAAGATGCACCAGTCTTCAGATGTGCTCTCTCCTGTATGCTTCCTAAGTTGCGAGGGGCTTCAGAACATGATTAGGGCCTTCCAGTCAGGTCTATAATTCTACATTAAACACATTTATTTTTATCTGTACATTTCAAATGAGCATAGAAGGTTCCTTTAAAAACATGTCAGGTTGCATACTTAAATATTCAAAAGTCAGAGTATGATCACATGGTTAAGGTTGCACAGTTCTGGCTACCACATTTCAAGAAAGCTGTGGAGAAATTGGAGAAGGTCCAGAGAAGAGCACCAAAAATGAATAAAGGTCTAGAAAACATGACCTGTGAGGGAAGACTGAAATAATTGGATTTGTTTAGTTTGGAAAACAATTTGGATTTGTTTAGAGGTAATATGCTAGCAGCTTTCAAATACCTAAAGGGATGTTACAAGGAGGAGGGAGAAAAATTATTCTCCTTAACCTCCTATGATAGGACAACAAGCAATGGGCTTAAATTGGAGCAAAGGAGGTTTAGATTGGACATTAGGAAAAACTCCCTAACTTTCAGGTGGTTAAGCACTGGAATAAATTTCCTAGGGAGATTCCAGAATCTCCATCACTGGAGATATTTAAGAGCAGATTCGACAGACATCTGTGGGGGATGATCTAGATAGTGCTTGGTTGTGCCTCAATGGCTGGGGACTGGACTTGATGACCACTAGAGGTCCCTTAAAGTTCTGATGTTCTATGATTCTGTGATTTTATGTAACCTGATTAGTACCCATATTGTGCATACCTTAGGGCATGGATGTTAATTAAATGTGAAGCATCTTTTAGCAACTACTCAATTTATGCCTGACAAATAGAGTTGTTTGAATTCATTGATATGAAAAATATACAAAATATAATTCCTGTAAACTATACTACAGATTTAATATTCCAAAGAGAGAAACAGTGACAATTTAATAACCTCTATAGGTCACTTAAACTTGTAGCTATTTTAGCTTCATTGTTAACAATCTCATCTTCTGAATTTTTATATTAAGGAAGACTGCAACATGCATATGTGTGCAAGTTAATTAGCTTCATCATTAACTACAGCAGCCCAAAAGTCACATATATGGAAAGCTATGCTGGTGATTGAAATGATATTATAGTGCAAGACAAGCCTTGTCTTCATATATTTTTTATACAGTGTCTCTGAAAATAAGGCCTTGAACCTGACTGCAGCTAGTGGGGCTCCCAAACTTTAAATATTACATCATAATACAACTGTTGGAACAAAGAGAATTTACCATAATTCCATAAAATGTCTAATCAAAGTTAAATACTGTATTCAAGTTAAATACTGTATGCAAGAATGAAACAATACACTTCTCATGTGATAAGATTCCTCATGTGTGTATTTAAGGTGATTGGGAGAAAATATATGATACTACATTTGAAATATAGAATGAGATTCCTGCCACTGAAGACAGTCATACTGAACAACACAGAGAGAGCACAGATAGCCCTTCATATGCAATATTTAATTTGAGTTCTATACAATGATATATCAAATTTCATACTCAGATGTGTAAGTTGCAAAGCTGTGAGCCATTCCCAACAAAGATATGGGGTCAAAATTTCTCAGTAAGGTATATCCATTCACTAACTCTCACTACGTAAATACAAATACCTGATTAACATATCCACATTCTGTAGTTGTTTATATAAATTTGAAGTGTGTCATTAGTCATGTATGAGTATGCTGCTGTTTATAGAAAAATTATCTTTAAGGCCAAAAACACATTTGTTTATTAAGAGGTATGGGTATGTCTACACTACCCCGCTAGTTCGAACTAGCGGGGTAATGTATGCATACCGCACTTGCTAATGAAGCCCGGGATTTGAATTTCCCGGGCTTCATTAGCATAAGCGGGGAGCCGCCATTTTTAAATCCCCGCTGCTTCGAACCCCGTGTAGACGCTCCTCGGCGCTACTTAACTAGGTAGTTCGGACTAGGGTGCCTATTCCGAATTACCGGTACTCCTCGTTTCACAGCCGTGCTGCACGGGGGTCGAACCAGCAGGGATTTAAAAATGGCGGGTG